ATATAATATTTTCAGCTGCTATTTGGTACATAAGGATATAGCATTGTCCTGTAGTTTTTCGAGAGACTAAAACATAACTATTTTTACCAATTTCTTGAGAAGGTTAGCTTAGGGTATATGACATCTTAAAGATTCGATAGTGGGAAAAATTGTGATCTGAGAATAAGTGCTGTGATCTTTGGCCGGGTCACACCTCACAATTGGTGAGTTTAGGTGGTTTAGTCATACGAACAGAGTTGTGTTTGATATTATAGCTCATAGTTTTGGTCAAAAGAAATAAAGAGGGTATAAAGATAGTTTGATCATGCATATGTAATTATTTTGATGGGTCACATGGTTGTTTGAGTTTGTCACAAGTCATGATAGGGTGATTCATATGTGTGTGTGATGTGTTGTACAAGTAGTCTTAGGTTCAATAAGGATGGTCTAAGTGTTAGAAATAACAATTGGCACATATATGGAGTTTAAGACACTCTTTTGTGGTAAAAAGTAAGAAAAGTTATGAAAATATATTTGGGTGTCTAACTTCTTTGTGTGACTTAATCTAAAAGTAAAACCTGTGCCATTTTTCTAGTTTATGAAAAGAGCTTTTTGTAAACATCAAGATCATTTCATTCAGACGTCAAAAGTTGCCAAGATTTGCTATTAAATGACAGCAAATTTGATGTAAAAAATGCGCAACATGCTGTGAAGCATGGTGCTCTTGCCATGGTGTGTGGCACAGAGAGTGAGAAGCCTCGATACAATGTGCATATGATGCAGTGCATTGCTTTGCTTTTCATAATCTTGACATTTTTTAACTGTTTTTGAAACATTTCACTCCTTTAAGGTATCATATACTTTTGAATCATTATTTGACTCTAATTAAAAGTTTAATAAATAATTTTGACTTATTTTAAACTATGAAAAACTAAGAATCCCATTATTTTAAACTACAAATTTGGTAATTTAAGTTGGGTTAATCTAACAATTACTTTGAATTTTAGTTTTAATTGTGTTTAGATAAGGGAAATATTTCAACAAGCTCCTCTAAGTTTACATATTGTAAACATTGTAAATCACTCGTTACCTATAAGTACATCACATATGTGTAAGTCTAAATGTGAAGATTCAAAATTTAATTAGGACACGCATGTTATTGCAATTGACATATGAGAAAAGATTGCAATCATTTGATCACTAGCATCATTTTATATTCTTGATAGAAGCCCCTTTGCAATCTCTGTTTGTTGAAACCTATTTGTTGAAATAGGAATATACCCCATTTTTGCATATCAAGTAAATATAGATCAATGTTAGCCATCCATTAGTGAAGAAAAAATAGAGGAAAGCAAGAAACATACATCTGTACCTTTAAAAGATACCTAAAATTAGAATAATGCCTACATTGGTTCTTGTTCTTGTGCACCATTCTTTCAAGTATGCCATGCTTTGATTGAAGTTGACCAAGCAAAGACGTAACCCTTGCCTCAATAGTTTCAACTTTGGGATCCATTAAACTTTTGAATGAATATACAAAAAGTAACCAAGTTTGTAAAATTTTTAAAGAATTTTTCATGAAGAGAGTAGGGAAATCTGAATACTTCTTGAAAGAACATTGAATAAAAAGATTAGAAGTAGAAACTAAACAAGAAATCACAAAGCAAAAAATAAACGTAAGAACACTAGAAGCACCAAACATTAGGTTTCACTTATAGGAGCATATATATTAAATCCATCTCTAAGCCATAAGCTAATTCAATTGTCACAGTTATCATTTATCAAACCAATAACACAACGAGAAACAAGGTTCAAAGTTGATTTGACTATTAGATGGAAAAAAGAGTTAAAAGGCATGGCACAATGATATAAAAGAAAGGGCAAGGGAGTCTAAGAAGGGAGGAAATTGGATTTAGATTTGAGGATTCTTTATAATTCAAGAGCATTTTTTGAGCTTTCCCCCAATAGTTTAAAAGTAACTTAGCCTTTGTAATCTCCCATCCTTCCCCTCCCCATATAAAAAGCCATCCATCGAATATCCACTTCTTAATATTAGCCAATCACCTTCATGATGGTGAATTATTGAGGAAGCTACAAAAAAAAAAATTCAATATCTACTAATTATACATCTATATATCAAAAATAAAAATCTAATAATAAAAAGTACTTAATGATGAGAGCTAGCAATGACAGACATGAAGAATTGATGTGAGAGATTGATAACCAAACAAAAAAAAAGACCTTGGAGCTCTACTCTTTTAGGCATTGAGATGCCAATCACTCTTCTAATGCTTTTCACTATTGAAATTGACATATGCATTCTTTGCTCTTCGCTCTTCTCACAAATTTGAAGAGAAGGAGGAATGAGAGGAAGGGGGTGAGGATGTAGAAGAATAATCAGGTAAGAAAGCAATAGTGAAGGGCAAAGGAGTAAGGAGGGGAAGAGGAAGTGGTTATTGAAATCTTGATAGACGTGGAGAAGAGAGAGGAGAGGATTTGGTTAAGGCATTTTAGTCATTAAAAACTCTGAATTAAGGCTATCAAAGAACTTAATCTTGGTTAGGTCTTTTTTAATAATTTGTCCTATTTTTTATTAGATACCCAATTATGACATTTTATATTTATAAAATCATCATTTTCTTTTTTCTTTGGGTAAAGATGCAAATTTAGCCATGTAGTATTTTTTTTATAAGCATTTGGTAGTTTAAACTATCAGATAGTGTAAAATAAATGACGAACTTTAAAAAATAGAGCATCAAGTAGCTCGTTGTTAACTTTAGTTGATGGACATTATGTGGGGCCTACAATGACCTGTGGCACTCCACGTCAGCATGTTTAAATGTATAAATTTAGTCACAAACTATTTTTTGAGGAGTATTAAATAGCTTCCACTATAAAAAATGGACTATTCAACACCATCTCATTAATTTTGACCAAATACCAGTTATTTTCAAACTTATGAGATCCATAACTCATCAATCTCTTTAATCTTCTTACCTTCATTCTCAATCTCAACTCAAAAAGAAGAGGTTCAAAGAATTTTTATTTAAAGACATTCACTAAGACGATGCCAAGAAAGTAGAAAAAAATTTGTGGCTAAATTAAACTATAATCAAGCTTCTCTTATGCTTGATAAAATTAAGTTTTTACTTCATTAGTATCATCTTTGTAAATATCTTAAGATAAGAATTATTTGAATCTTTTTTTTTCTCAAGCTAATACTGAGACTGAAGGTAAGAAAATTGGAGAGATTAATGCTCATAAGTATGAAAATAAATGATGTTTGATCAAAATTGAACGAAAGGTGTTTGATGGTCTGTTTTTTTAATACTAGAGACTACTTAGTGCTTCTCAAAAAATACTTTATGGCTAAATTTGCATCTTTATCCATTCTAATGTCAAGTGCTATGTGTCATTATGGGCCTCATATAACGTTCGTTAGCTTAAGATAACAGCGAGCTACTGAATGCTCCATTTTTAAAAGTTCGTGATTTATTTCACACCACTTAGGATATGTTTGGATAACCTTCTAACTTAAGTTAGGGTGGTCTAAATTTAAGTTAGAATGTTAAAAGCTCAATAAATATTGTTTGGATAAAAAAAAATTATAACTAGCGTTGGAAGGCAAACGCTTATTTAATGTGAAGTCATAAAAGATAGCTTTTGAAACGCAGTGGTGGGATTATAACAGGATAGAAGAAAGAGAACGTTATATAAATAATATCACACAGATTCGAACATATAGAGTTAGATTTTTTTTAAGTTACATAATTGTACTAGCCTAATTTTTTTACAATGTCATACAGGAAGCTCATTTTTTAACGTAAGGGTACTTTTTTTTCTTTCCTTTTCATTAGTATATGAAACTAGACGTGAGTTTTATGCTTTATATTGAAATATTATAATTCATTTTTTAATTAAATTAGATGAGATTAATTCATTGGCAATATTATAATTTTTTTAAAGTTTATGTATAAATTTGAATTAAGAAAACTAATAGTCTAATTTAATATTTTGTAAATTATCATTTTATTCTAACTTCTAAAAGTTTAAGATTTTTTAATTTGTCAATTCATTTTATCTTTTAGAATTGAATATTTTATAATTTATAAATAAATTAATGAGCATTTTAGACCTTGAGGCATTACACAAAAAGTGTTATAAATCCTAAACTTATAAGATGTGTAAAACATAACTTAAACTTTTAAATTTATAGCAAATAATATTTATTTATTTAATGGTAAAAACTTAAGATTTCATTTAAAAAAAGTTTAAATATTAAAAAATTTTATTTAATCAGTTAATTTGGATTTAAAATTTGTTGATGAAATTATCAGTTTTTGCATCCATTGTTTGTAAAATTCTCTGATACTTAAACTTCTTTTTAAATAGGATCCCAAGTTTTTACTATTAAATAAATAAATATTATTTAAAATAAAACTAAATCTCAGCTGAATATTTAAGATTTTTTATTTATTAAACATAATTTATGAATTTATTTTATCTTTTCATAATTAAAAATTTAAGATTTTTTACTTATTAATTGTAATTTTCAGTTTATTATTTTTTACTTATTAATTAATCAAAAAATATATACAAAAAATTTATGTTTATTTTTATCATTAAAAATCTCAACTGGCTTTTGAATTAAATCATCCAAATAAATTTTAATTTATCTAACTAATTTTTTTAAAAAATATTTAAATATAAATCATGTTATATTAACTTACTTTTTTTCTAACCTCAATTTTCTAACTTAAATTAAATTTTAATTTTAGTTATAAATTTTTTAATTCCAACACACACTTAATAATTAAAGTGATTAAATGCTTCTTAAAAAATAATTTAAAGTTAAATTTGCTACTTTACTCCTTTTACCCCTCCACTCACTCCATTCCATACATGTACATCAAACGGCGGGCATCCAGCCTTCATGGATTTGTTGGGATGACTGACGAGTGACGGCCGCGGCCTTGGTATTTCCGGAATAAAGCTAAGAAGGTGAAAAAAAAAAAAAAAGGAGCGATTCTTCGCGGTTGCTTGCTGCGGGCAAAGAAGCAATAACTAATTTATCTTGTTGGTCGTTAAACTCGTGCTGCCTCGTCTGCCTAAACTCACCGCCCAACTCGGAGAGTTTTTCCCGTCATCCACAGCTGCTGAGTCACCCGCCTCACGTTCTGATTCTCCCACTGGAGAATTTTCACCCTCGTCGCCCAAGATGACCATGAATCCCACGGTAATTACTCATTTGCCACTGCATTTCTTCAAGATACAATCTCTCCTTTTTCTCAAATTTCTCCCCTTCTGATGGAACAGAACGCAAGTCTCTCCGGCTCGATGCAGAGCCCTAGATCTCAGTCTTCGCAGCCCTTCCTATCTGTCTCAGTCACCGATCCGGTTAAGCTCGGTAATGGCGTCCAAGCATATATCTCCTACCGCGTCATCACCAAAGTAATTCTCTGTTTCTTCTTGCTCTCTTTCTGCTATCTGCAACCCTTTTTTCGTTAGTTGGAAATTTCTCATTTAATCGAAATCCAAGTTCCTGCGCACTTCGATTTGACTGTTTATATTTGACCATCGACGGTGCTGCATTTAGTGAATTGGACTTTATTCCCGCAATCGTATGAAGGATAAACTTTAATGAAGTTTCTCTTATGTTCAACTTGATTATCGGATTAAAAATCTACCTGTAAATGATTGAATACCGCGGACACACGCACACACACACACAAATGGATATATATACACTTATATATAAGGAAATGGTGGCCTATTTTTAAGAACGGCATGACAAGGAAGTTTAATTTGGGGCGGTGAACGGCACTAATCACAATCAGGATAGATTGGGATTTCAAGGAGCAGCAAACTTTTGTATAACAGCATGCTCCAAGAGCACCGTAAAATGTTAAAACCATTAACTAGAGATTATGGTCTTGAATAAATGATTGGAGCTTTTTGGTGCATTCTACGTGCATCAGCCTTCCAGTCGCTGTTTGGTATAGCTAGATAAATAGATAGACACTAACAGAGTACAGGCTACAGAGATAGAACACAGAGACCTAAACAGGGATGACTTCATTTGGATTATGGATGGCATGTTTTTTGCCCCTCTATTCTGTTGTCAATAAAGTATAGACCTCACACACTTATATGCGTAAGTTTTTGTTAAGAACCAGCATGCATACGTGCATGAGGCTGTAAAATGGTTTCCACTCTTTGTTTTTGGATAACTGAAGGCTATGGAAAAATTTCAGAGATTTTTTTGGTCTAGGGTTTTGTACAATGTTTAAGTCTATAGGGATGCTCATCATTTTCAACTAGTTTAACCATGTTACAAACTCAGAATATGCTCTGAGTGCTTTTTGTGCTAAGCATTTTTTTTTTTGGTGCAAAATGTGAACGTGATGGGAATGGGATGGATTGACCAGTACAGTGGCAATGATCCTTTTATTCAGGAATGGAATTTCATTTAAGTATATTCCGTTGACATGTAATGGAACAGGGAAAAATAAAGGTTTAAAAAATGGGAAATCAACCATAACACATTTTTGAGATCCCTGTGACTGTGACCATGGAGTGGAATTTACATTCTCATGTACGTATGCACCCTAATTTCCATATGAATATGATTTTTCTTACGCATACGTCTACCACTGTAGGTGCTTTGCATGCAGTCTTCCATTGGCAAAGATATTCACTTTCATCATTTGTTATTATTGTCTTTTTCCCCGTAGATTTCATCAGGAAGATCTAAGACAAGAGCCTACCATTTCATTCTCAAGCTAATTGAAATTTTGTGTGGCAGACAAATTTTCCTGACTACCAGGGACCTGAGAAGATTGTCATCCGACGCTACAGTGACTTTGTTTGGTTGCGTGATCGTCTTTTTGAAAAGTACAAAGGCATATTCATTCCACCTCTTCCAGAGAAAAGTGCTGTAGGTAACATATTTTTACAGGGCACATTTTTATGTGTTTAATAATATTCAATTGTAGGAGTTGCTATAGGAATGTGTGACAATGCTACTTTGGGACTCAGCATCATTTTTTACATGCTTTTATTTTCTTTTTATGTCTCTTGTCTGACCTTATGCTGATCTCTCGTATGGTAATGAAAATATGAAATTGTCATGATTGAAATGAACTGCCATATATTTTCTCATCCTGCTCCTTGGAAGTTGAAAAAGTTCTCAAATACTTAAATTAACTCTGTTTGTTGGCTGTGATATTTTTCTCATATTGTCATTTTTCCACAGTCTTTTTCCACTGCAGAAATTCAAATTTCTGAAGGTGCTCATCCAGGGTAGCCTGGAAGTAGTGTCTTATTTCAAGTGTTTGATATCTATATTTCAATAAATATTGCTTTCTTCTAATCAGAACTCTTAATTTGATATATTTTTGACGTAGTATGGCCAGACATTTACATGCCACGTCCTTATGTGCATTTGGCATGATTGTTTGATGAAGGGCATCATCATTGATAATGTGTAATCTACATTCAAGAATCCTGTAGAAGCCTTGCATTGTGCTTAAAAAGTTATTTGATGAAGCTGATGATACTCTGCAAAGCTGTCCAAATTACTTTTTACCCTTGAATGTCTTTCGCTTTTTCAGAGAAATTCCGTTTTAGTGCTGAATTTATTGAGATGAGGCGTCAAGCATTGGATATATTTATAAACAGGATTGCATCACATCATGAGCTCCAGCAAAGTGAAGATCTAAGGACCTTTTTGCAGGCAGATGAAGAGGTGATACCTGAGTAGTAACATTTGTTCCTCTGCTGCAACTGTAGATGTTTTAGATGAGATTAATTTTCTTGCATTATCTTTTGCAAAGTTTGCTTCTTCCCTTATGCCACTGGCTCTCTCTCTCTCTCTCTTCTGCACTATGTTTTTCCAACTGAGTTTTTTTTATTCAATATAAATATTAGAATAAAATAAATTGTTTATTTGAAAACTGGCTTTCTTGGATGACTAGCAAATAGTTGATGGGTTGAGCAAATTTGCTTTAGCATATAATTATTGTTATGTTAAAATTGATCCTTGCAATCATCCCAATAATATCCAACTATCACTTGTATCACATGTTGGAAAATGAGGTATTGGAATCTTCTGAATATCTCTCTTTTTCTTGTGTGTGTGTGTGTGTTTGTATTATTGGTGACAGTAAATTTTCTAGTTTGGCTATTTTTGTCAATTTAAGTGGAAAAGAAAATCTACATTTTGATTTCTTTATGGTATCTATGCAGACAATGGAGAGATTTAGGGCCCATGAGAGTGGTATATTCAAGAAGAAGCCAGCTGATTTAATGCAGATTTTTAAGGTAACATGTGTACTTTTAATACAACAACAACAAGCCTCATTCCACTAGGTGGGGTCGACTACATGGATTGTACAATGCTATTATATTCTATCATTTACCAAGCTTTTAGGAATGTTGTTCCATTATGATAGTTTTTCTAATAAGGTTTCAATATTTTAAAAGGAATCAAGTTTTGAGTTCTCACTAACTCTGTCTGGAATTGAACAGCACTCACTGTTTTTCCCCGTTTCTTGCTGTACTAGCTTTGAACTAGCACATGGATGTGCATGAATTGAAAGGTGGAAGAAAAGTTAGTTAGGATTGTTTGAGGAGGGGGAGGGAGATAATGGCAGTGTTAGTCTGATTCTAATACCTCTAAACTTTTTGAAAGAAAATTATTTGATGAAAATTTATGTACAAATAAGAAGTCAGAGTGAAGGAAAAAAGTATTGTTACACAAAAAATTGTCAAAGAAAGTTGCTGAAGTTCTTTCGTTGGCTGCTTAACTCAACTATTCATTGATGCAAGGCATGTCATGAATATGCCTAGAGTAGAGCAGTGGACCAGATTTGAGGCAACACTGAGATCTACTCTCTATGATTATATTTTGCTACATCGTGCTATGCTGCTCTGGTATTTAGCACTTGGGTTATTTTACATGGAATGTTACCCAGCAATAGCAGGCCACTTCCTCTGTTTGATACAACTGCTTTTACATACTTGTCTGGTAATCTGGTTGTGTGTGCTGTCTGAGTGTAAATCCTGGTATCTTGATTCATTTGTAGTTGTTTGCAAATACTGGCAGGATGTGCAGTCTAAAGTGAGTGATGTTGTCCTTGGGAAAGAGAAGCCAGTGGAAGAATCAACTCCTGAATATGAAAAGATGAAACATTACATTTTTGAGCTTGAAAACCACTTGGCTGAAGCTCAAAAACATGCATATCGACTTGTGAAGAGACACAGAGGTAAGTTTTAATTTGGTGTTTGTTGTCCTTCCATTTTACCCTTCAGTGGATCAATTTCACTTTCTATCCTCCCTTGCGACATGACCTATGCATTATGCTATTCCACTATCTTGTGTTGATGGCTCTTGCAGAGTTGGGACAATCACTTTCAGATTTTGGGAAAGCAGTGAAACTTCTTGGTGATTGTGAAGGAAATTCTCTTGGAAAGGCATTCTCTGAACTAGGGATGAAGTCTGAGACTTTATCAATGAAGCTGCAAAAGGAGGTAAGCTTCATATTGTTTATTTTAGTGGCCTTTTGTATATGCACACTTGCATTATTGATGAAACCTACAAAACCGTGATATGCTTTTCTGGCAAGCAGTCTTATCAAATCTTGATGAATTTTGAGGAACCTCTGAAAGATTATGTCCGTGCGGTGCAATCTATCAAGGTTAGTCTGGTTTGTTTCTCTTCCATTAATTAATAAGCCAGTCATCAACATGATTGAATATTCTGTTTGATTTCTTTCGTAGTTATGTAAGATTATAAGTCTCAATTGCTTCGTGGAAACAGCTAAAAGAAGAAAAGAGAAACAAAGACATTTATCCGCTTTTTGGCTTTTCTGAAACAGGCAACTATAGCAGAGAGAGCCAATGCGTTCAGGAGACAATGTGAGCTAGCTGAAACTATGAAGTTGAAGGAGATTAATCTGTATGTTCCTGGTTCTCTGGTTCCGTTGTTCACCTAATCTAGTATGGCACAATATAGTGCATTTTTAATATTTATTTTGGGCTGAGGTGGCACTAAATACTATTCCCTCTGGACCAAAATATAGGAAATAAGTAACTAATTCATGGTTCTAAAAAAATGTTAGTTGAAACCTTAATTTTTTTAAAAAATTTACATCTTTTCAATTTTACCTTCATTAAATACCCTATATAAGTGCTTTAATGATGATAATTAAAATTTTAATGCATCATTTTTTTCAAAAAGAGTAGTAAATGAAGTAGAGGTACAATTGAAAAGATAATTATTAAAGTTTCCCAATGTCCTATATATTAGACCAAGTAAGGTTTTTAGAAGATTCCTTATATTATGGTTTGGAGAGAGTAATTATTTGTTGCACAGTCCCCTACACAAATTTGTGTCCCCATTATTCTCTTTACAAATGCAGAGTTGGAGTTTTCCATGTGGTTGGGGGACTGGAACGTACCTAATATTCTGATTCATTCTTTATTTATATCTTGGTGGAATGCAGCGACAAGCTCACGCTGACACGATCTGATAAAGTGGCAGAAGCACAACATGAATATAATGAGGCAAGTTTGTTTACGATTGTCATCCATTCTCCAATAAGCAATTATATACCTATCGGTTTGGCTGATAGTGGCATTTGAATTGTGGTGCAGTTGAAGGTAGAGAGTGAACAAGCAGCAAAGACATTTGAAACAATTGTTAGATTAATGAACGAAGAGATAGTGCGTTTTCAGGAACAGAAAACTAAAGATATGGGGATTGCTTTTCATGAATTTGCCAAAGGCCAGGCACGCCTTGCAAATGGCATTGCTGATGCATGGAGAAGTTTGATTCCAAAACTGGAAGCTTGTTCCTCCTCGTAGTCAACTTCTCCACGAACCCTCCGAAGCAGAGGCGCAGTACCTCACAGCTGCTTAAAGGGTTTCAAAGTCGCAGAGACAGCTTGGGAAAAACTTGCTTTTTGGGGCCATCGCAAGACACTACTATGTTTTGGCTTTTGCGTGTCATCGCTGCTTTTTTATCGGTACAAATTACACTTCTTGTGTCCGGGATGTGATTGTCTTACCACTTATGTACAAATTTCAAACTAGAGTTAAGAACATGATCATCTTTAGAATGGTTCTCCTCCAACAGACACTGTAGGGACTCTTGTATGGTGTTTCCCACGTCTTCTGTGTAGGCAATATGAAAATGCGTGGTTTAGAGTGCATTGCAGAAAAAAGGTCCGCTTGAAGTGGTGGTTACTGGTTTACAGGCGAGGGAAATAATCTCTCTACAAAGCAGACCCTTCACGAGTTCTATTGGTGTTTAGAGTATCAAGTTAGCTGGCAAATCAAGCTTATCTAAGATTTTTTTTTAATTGTAAAGATTTTTTGTGGGGTTAAAATAATGAAGCAGTTGAGGCCTAGTAAGAAGATAAAAATAGTCCAGAACTAAAATGTTTTATATTGCGTAAAGATAGGCAACACATTGCCTTCCAGGTGCTATAAAATTCAAATAAAAAATGGGTTCATTTTTAGTTTATTTTTTGTCATAAAATTGATATCCTGGACAAAATCTTGAATAAGTAAAACTATTTATTATGTTAAAATATAACAAAATTCTTAATAAATTTTATTATTTATTAGTCATAAAAAATGACCTTCACTGTAAATTTCAGATAATATAAGAGTAAAATATTGGTTTCAAATTGTTTTTAAAAAAAAATCTTGAAAACAACATTAAGTATTAATTGGAAAATAGATTTATTTCATAGTTAAGTTATTTAAAAATTTGAGTTTTTATTTTTCAAAGTAAAATAAATGTTAGGATATAAATTCCTCGAAATTAAAGAAAGACGAAGCTAATGTTTCATCCATGTCAAAATAAGATTGAGATTGACAGTCGGCGATGGCTAATTTGCTAGCAAATCTGCTGGGCCATCGTGCGGAGCCTTTCCTACCTCAAACTCAGAATCTCATTACCATATTCCAGCACCACTGCATCGTAGCTGCATGCTACCTCCTCACTTGGCACCATTACACCGAGAAATCACCCCTTAGTAGGCGAAGGCAGGAGAGCCATGGCACTTGCTATCAGGCAATTTCTGTACCTCACGCGATTCAATCCCCATGTGTCATTCTCTCCGACTTCCCTCGTCTCCCCGATGCCTAATTGCCAAAACCACCGCTCTTGCGCCCTTCGCAATCGCAATCAAACGGTAATTGCAGCGCCGGTAGTCAAGGCTTCCGCCGGTAATGATAGCCTCACCGTCGATGGTGACGATGGAGTCTCTCTCGGAACAATGGTCTTGCCTATGGACACTGACCTCAAAAGATTCGAATCCTTGCTTTTTCAGGTGTGCCTACCATTTCAATTTTTCTCTCACCTCTACTATTCATTCCTCTCTGATTTATTAGAAATGTGAACCATGGATAAGGCCAATGCTTAGACTAGTTGGGAAATCTATCCCGCCCAGAGTAGTCGAATATAATTGTTTTGATTCTTACGGAGCATCTTAAACGTTAATTATAACTCAAATTTTTTAAATGATAAATGGATTTTTAGGATCTTTTTAAGTTTATTATTATCTTGATTCTCAGTTTACATAAACAAGCCTATTTTTAGTCACGAGAGAATCTTGTTGGCCCAAAGAGTTACTATGGAATCTTATTACCACCGCCGCCACCAAACTTTCAACTCCTAGTCATCTCTTATTTATGGTTTATGATTATTCATTGTAATGGGCATGGCCATTTATCTTGTGTCTATGACATTGAAGGCTTTCAGATTTCTTGCTAGAAGATATGCAGTAGAATTTGATCATTTGAAAATCATACAAGAAAAACAAACTGTAAATTAAAGATTCAAAATTTATCAAGAGCAGTAGAAAACTTTTTAACAGAAAATTGGAAGAAAGAAAATAAACCAACTCACTCATTCTTCATCTTTACACAGTACTGAAAAAAATCAACGTCACTCGTGATAAGTCTCTAAAATTGAAATCATCATTTGAGGTCACTTCAAATCTGTCAATGGGAACTGGGAAGAGAATTTTTGATAGTGGTATTGAGAATGCTTGTCATAGCAGAACCTCAAAGATGAACCGTTACTTTCTCGAAGGATCCAAGCCACACCCTTTCTGGTGCTAGTTTCTGGTGGATTTGAGGGCGATGAAAAATATGGTAAGAACTTTATTTTTCTCATGAGAGGGAGATGATATGGTGCAAATGAGGCAAAAAAAGAGGAATAAAATTGCAAGGGCATTTCCTGTTGTTTCGGTGAAAAATGATCTTTCCTGAATGCATTTTTAACCCTTTATAGTGAATTTTGCAAATTTGTGGCACCGGGATGAAAATTTTCTAAGATATAACACAGTTATCTACAAAAACGCAAGCACAGATTGTCATAATTCAATTTAATACTTTAATAATAAGAGACGTCTTCATAGTTCCTTCCTTTTCTTGGTAACGTAAATGATTACTGCAGAAATGGGTTCTGAGATCTGTTTTATCATAAGTACTATCTTGGCTTAGTTCACCTCTTGTTCTTGGGCTGTGGCAGTGGGCGAACAGTCTTTGCCAGGGAGCCAATCTGCCACTTCCCGTGCCTCTGAAGGTATGTTCATTGACTTCTTTCTGCAATTCATCTAACAGTTTAAAGTGCAAAGAGTTTTTACCATTTCAAACATCTGAAATGCACACGACAACAAATTGTTGTCGACTATAATATGGGATATATGCGTTTTTTCAGATACCAAAGGAAAGATAAACATATGAGTATATAAGGGTGTTCATAGGCTTGATTTGATTTGGTTGTTGTTAAAAACCAAACCGAACTGAACCATTCAGTTTACTCATAATTGAGACCTGATCGGTTTTTGTGGAGCTCGATTTGATTCGGTTTGGTTAAGGTCTGGATCAGGTTTCAATGTACTTATTTATTTATTTTTTCCTTTTTTTCATCTTCATAATGGTGCTATGTATTAAAATTAAATCTAATTTTTTTGGCTCCTTTTTTTCATAAATAGAGGTATAAAAATATAATAAAATTTCAATGTGATAATGATAATTAATCATAAAAATTGATATAAGTTTTTAAAATTAAAATTATTTAATATTTTGCATTCCCATTCAAGTTGTTTGAAAATGTTTATCTATGTATCTATATTTTAATAAATAATGAAAAAATTATTATACAAAATTCAAAACAATATGCTTCTTGTAGATAAATTAAATACTGAAACTTTCTAGTTGTAAATAATTAAATGATGGTCATAGCATGATTATTATAATTATTTAATTTTATGCATTTCCATTCAAGTCCTTTAAAAATGTTTATCTATTACTATAAAAAATTCAAAACAAAATGCTTCTTTTAGATAAATGGTTATATATTTTATAAATAAATAAATAGTATTTTTTAATCAGATTTGGCTTGGTTTGGTTTAGTTTCTAGTACTCAAAATTGAATTTGAATCAAACCAATTTGTTTTCATATTATAAAAATCAAAGCAAACTTTATTGTTGTTTGATTTTGATAGGTTTCTTTCGATTTGGGTTGATCTTTTCGATTTGGATTGGTTTTGAACACCCTTATGAGCATACGCATGTGTTTGGGCTTAAAATGAAACAACATTTGATTATAATCCAAAAGAAATGAAAGAGGGAATGTCAGGATACAAGGTGGGCATCCGGGGCCGAGATTGTTATAGTATCCCCAACATATATAAAAACTATATTTTCACTACAAGTAGACTTTGAGTGTATTGATAACCAAGTTGAGTATGAAGCACTATTGACTAAGCTAGAAATACTTTGAGAGTTAAGGGCCCAAGAGGTAGCCATCAAAGGAAACTCTTAGCTGGTTATCAAGCAATTGCTAGGAGAGTACACGCATACTAGCTCGGCCTTGGTGATGTCCTATCAGTGGCCACCTAAATCTTGGAAAATTTCAAGGAACTCACATTCATGTAAGTTTTTTGAGCCTAGAATTGGGAGGCTAATGGGCTAGTGTAGATGGTAAAGGCTTTCACCAAACTTACTAGGAAATTGATCTTGGTCAAAAGAAGAGAACATTCTTCAACATGCCAGTGATGTATAATCTTACAATGCAATACGGTCTCACTAAGGTTAGCTTAGGATTGGTGGGATGAGTTCAAGAACTACTTACAAAATCCTAGCCAGTGATACCCTTATAAGACCAAAGTACATGTTTAACATTTCGTCCTAATTGGAGATAAGCTATATAGAAAGAGCCTGAATAGGTTATTAATTCATAGAATATACAAAGTTTTAAGGTAGGTACATGAGGGAAAGTGTAAGGCTTATTAATTCGAGCCAAAAATGCAATGGCTTGTACCCAAACATGGATACTATTAGCTATTCATGGCTAAAGACTACATTGAATACACAAAGAGATGCAATAAGTGTCAAATACATGGGTCAATCCAATGAGTACCAACCTCAGACATGAATGGAATTGTCAAACCATGGCCTTTTCGAGATTGGGCCATGGACATAATATGGAAAGTATATTTAGCCTCTTCTAAAGGCCACTCATTCATCTTAGTAGCTGCGAATTACTTTACTAAGTGGATAGAGGTTGCCCTACGAAAAGGGTCAAGTGAGGTAACATGATAAACTTCATACGAGAAAAGATCGTGTTTCGATACGGTATCCTTTAAACGATTATGATAGATCAAGGAGCTATGTTTAGCGGGAGTATCTTCAGGGTCTTTGTTGAGGAGAGTGGTATTAAATTATTCACATCCATGTGACATTATGCATAAGCAAACGGGTAGGTTGAAGTGTCTAATAAGGTTATCTTAGGAATCTTAAAGAAGATGATTAAAGATAATCCTAAGGGATGGCATGAACAACTTTCAAAAGCATTATGGGCCTATTGAACTTAAAAAAAGGAAGCTACTAGCACGAGCCCGTACTTACTCACTTACAAGTATGAGGCCGTGTTACCTTTAGAAATGGTTGTTCCTTCTTTGCGAATGTCTAAGAGTTTAAGGTTGGGCTCAGAAGACTACAATGAAGCTATGATGAACAGGCTAATTCAATTAGATGAACTTTGCTTACGAGCTCTAGATCATATGGTTGTCTAAAAGAAAGAAGTATCTAGAATCCACAACAAATGAAGAAAAAGGAAATGATTTCAATTGGGTGCGCTTGTGTGGAAGCTCATATTGTTGTTTGGGACTAAGGATCGAAGACTTGGCAAGGTTTCACCTAACTAGGAAAGGCTGGTCAAAGTTTGTCAAGTGTTTAAAGGGAATGTGTATTGGTTATCTAGTCTCGATGGAAATCCTCACTCACGGGCCATAAATAAAAAATACTTAAAAAATATTGATTATCGATAGAATAAGGGCAATAAGTAGACCTGAGGCCTTTTAGAGGCCTCTAGTGGAGCATATGCTAGAACGATGAAGAAAAACATGTATATATTAATAGATGTTTACATATGTACATGTGTAAAGGAAAGGAAACAAACATAAATAAAAGAAAAGGGGATATAGTCTTGAATTATTAGACCCAGGCATCTACTAAGGTCTTCCAAGTCCTAAAGCGCGTCATCAAGTCTATCTTTAATAGCTTTGTGGCGGGCCTTGGCTTTGTCTAGCTCAACTACCTATGCTATTCATTCCTTCTCCTTAGTCTGTAACTGTGTCAACTCCACCTTAGCAGAAGCTAGCTCTGTCTTCAAGGTACCCTGCTTAGCCACTCTGGTTCTACCCAAATAGTGGCTAATTGTTGCTCCAGCTTGGTCTCCTTGGCCCTTAAAGAGTGAATTTGTTAAGCCTGAGGAGTCAACTCCTTGACTTTGCCCTTTAACTCTTCCATTTGAGGAAGTACATTGAGGTGTGTCGACTTGACCTGCCATTTTACATTGATATCAATAGCAAGATCGGGTAACGCCACCATACAATCTCAAATTTGGCCATAGTAGTAAGGAAGCTGAGCATATAGAAGCTCAATCTGAGGCAACAAGCTTTGCAAGTTAAGGGTACCTGAAGCCTTAACGACCTTGTCGAATTGAGGTTTAGTGAGTCTTATTGGATCCTTATATAAGTGGAACCTGGCAAGACTCTTTGCATCCTCAACAATAAAGTCTATAAAGGTCTCGAGTCTCATGAAGTACACATTAGGAGAGTTCAAGGAAGGAGGGTTAGCCTGCGCAAACAAATTAAAGGATGAGGAATGTAAGCATAGAAATATAAAAATTACATTAAGATAAAGAAATGTACTGGAATAACCATAAGGGCCTTTCCCTTATTCATGGACAACCAGGCATCTGCCTTTAGAGCCCTAGTTGCTTTATTAGTCTGTAGCTCAATTGGCTAGGGAACCTCGACAACAGAAGGATCAACATTTAAGAAGGCAGAGATTGCTAGCTCTAGCTAAACACTTGAGGTCATAGGTTGAGTTACCTCCAAAGCCACTAATTGAGCAACCTTCAGGACCACGAGCTAAGCACTGGTGAAAGATGTGATAGCCCTTTCTTTCTCTGGAATGGCAAAAGACTCCAAAGAATAAAGGGATTGTCACCTGGAAGACTTGGGGGACCTTGGTGAAGGAAAGCTGACAATAGGAGATTCCACTCCTCATGATTAGGATATTTAACAAGAACAAATACTCGAGTATGACAAGCACTTTGGCCAATAGTGATAGGCTCCTTAGGGCTAGTCTTTGTAAGGGCTTGGCAAGGCGCAAAAAGGGTAATAAGAGGCTGAGCACTCTTTTTCTTCTTCTTCTAAGCCCATGCCCACTATCATCTTAAAGCTTCCTTTTTGAAGATTTAGGACTCTGTTTTGGGGCCTACTTGACCACCTTCTCGGGTGCTTCACTAGCATCTTGCTTGAAAGTAAGCTCAATTTGCTCTTGCTCAGCCATGACCTTAGATAGAGAGTCGGTCGTGGGAGCTTTTGAAGGGGTTGGGGCGTCAAGGTTTCCCCTCAAAAGGCCCAACCTCAGGTCTTGTTCCTAATCTCGCTCTGACAAGAACAGAACACACGAATTGAGATAATTATCAAAACTTAGAAAAGAAATAGACGAAGATGGAAATTTACCAATGCGAGTTTTCAGAATACGCCGAAAATTTTTGAGCCACTATTTATTGAAGCGAAGGCAAGCATCTCGTGTCACTACCTCCACTTTATTTTTTACTCTAGAGGTCAAGTATATAGTTTCAGAGCGGCTTTGTCCACCACTTCCAGCTACAACCTTTGAGATAAACTGTGGGGGATAAATTGTTTTGAGCTAAAGCTAGTAATATTCAACAAATGCTTTATCTAACTTAATATTCTCGATAGTCAAGGGGGCATAATCTCCTTAGAGTGGTGGCTGAAATGAAGATACTATCTCGCATATGGAGCCGGTAGTGCTTGCTCACATGAATATAGAACCAATAGGGGAGGCAGAAATCTAGGACAAGCGCTTTTTTTTGTGGCAATGACCACTTCTGTTGACAGAAGAACTCAAAGAAGTTGATTTTCCTTTTTAGCTTATGGGAAGCTAGGTGAGGCGTATAAGGAGTGTTAAGTTCCTTTGAAAATTTGAGTTGATAAAGATTTGGGAAATATGCTAAGGCCCATAACTTCAAGAACCGAATAGGCTTGTAAAAATTCTCAAAGGGGCTCTATTACATAGTTTCTTTCATCCTGTCATAAAGACAACACAAGAACATTGTGCCTAGAGTAACATGATTACCAAGGTGTGGGTACTTCGCCAGATATTTGTAGTCTACCATGGGCTTTCCACCGCTTGGGTTAAAAAACCACTGCTCTTCTTTAGGAACTGGCACTTTAGGAAGTAGCTTTGAGTACCGTTTGATGGTAGTAGAGTACAAGCTATCAGAATAGAGCAGCTTGAGGGTGTTCTCGAAGAGTAAGGAGTTGTTAAGATGGTTTGTAGGAATGACAAAAATGTTCACCTCTCTATTGATGGGGAGCCTTAGGAACATAAAAACATTCATAAGTGTAACCGTCATAGGGCTCAACTCAAACAAAAAGGCATTGCATTCGGGTGATTAGAAATGGAGCAATGCCTCGAGGAGCGAGATGGGGACATCGAGCGTAAGGAGCGAAAGCTCAATTAGGTTGTAAATGCCGATCTCCTTCTAGAACTCTTAATGAGTACCTTCCAAATGAGCTACCTATAATGCCTATTTAGGTGGTGATTGGGGCTAGTTATGGATTTTCCTGCAAGACTTTATAAAAGGGGTGATCTCATGGGGAGGAATGGCTGGTAATACCACTTAAGGGCGGATAGACCGTCCACCCAGTGCCGCTACCCACTTCTACTAAGGCTGAGCTTAATAGGAGCAAGAGACTTGGTGGTAACAACCAGAATGAAATATTATTTAATCGTGGAAATGCCATGTCAGGTGCACCTATCAGAATCGGAACAGACCAATTACCAGATCCACCTATCATCGCCGGCATAACCATAAAAAAGATCATTAAAAAAGCGTGAGCCGTTATTAAAACATTATAAAGTTGATGATTCCCACCAAGAATTTGATCGCCGGGTCGTGCTAATTCCATACGAATCAATACTGAGAAGCATGTGCCCATCACTCCAGCAATGGCACCGAAGATGAAATATAGAGTCCCTATATCCTTGTGGTTAGTGGAGAACAGCCATCGGACCGGATTTGTCATCAATTTGTTTTGATTTCGTTTCCTTCCTTATCAGAGAGGGGCCCCTTAGGGAGCGGGGCTTATTTCTTGAAAAAGGGGGAGTGAGAGGGGAAGGAAGAATGGAAAGGGGGTGGGGAAGGTCCGGAAAGCCCTCACTTTATTGATGGGACATTTTGATCCCCTTTTCTTTCCTCCCCCCCCGGTTCTGGTTCAGGAAAGGGTCAACGCAAGGATCTTACTTCGAAGCAATCTCTGGAGTTTTCCCTTAAGCTCTTTGATTGGGAATTAATGGTAACAAGAGCCTGTAGCTACTAAGAAGCTGACGCTCTATTTCTGAAGAAGGAGATGTGGAATGAAGTCACTCTCCTGCTAATCCGAGTGACGGTATGAAGTAGAGCTCGTATTCCCTCTCCCTTTGGTCGAGCTACTTCGTCCCTGCTTTTAGATGTTATTTTGCCAATCACAAGAGAGCTTAAGGGATGTCCCACACAAAAGTCAAGGGCTAGGGATTAGGCAAGGGATGTGCTTCTGTCTTTGTGAGGTTTGAGGTGATTAAATGGTACTTAAGGTTTGTTGTGCTGCTTAGGGTGAAACTAATTAGAGAATTGTTGATAACCATAAGGAAAAATAAAATGAAGAAGGGTTAGAATGGGACAGGGAAAAGGCAGAAAAAAATCTTACCAAAAATGTAGGCAGTCTGAAAACTCTTGATCAATGATTTCTCCTAGAAAAACGCAAACATTCAGAGAAGAATGCCATAGACAATATTGAAGATGAGAGGGAGATACTTACAAGAATCACGTTAGGAAAGGCAAGCTCAACGAGGTTCTAGACTATAACCTAGTCATCCGACAGAACCTTCTCAAGATTGTTCGGAGGAGAGTAGTAAGCAGCTTGATAAGGCCATTGTAGTCGGAGGAGAAGATGGATAGAGAAGAATACCTAAGGAAGCAAATGGAATCAAAGGACTAGAACTTGAAGGGCAAGAAAGTGGTAGGGAGTACAGTGATGACAACGGCAAAAAAAAAGGGATTTATATTTATGAGGAGACGAAAATATGAAGTGCCAAAGTACAAAACTAAATAGATGTGCCACATGGCTTACAACACATGTAGGGGTATTGTTTAGGCTTAAAATGAAATGATATTCGATTGTATTCCAAAAGAAACAAAAGAGGTAATGTTAGGTTAAGTAAGCACTGAGTTGTAGAGGAATGTGACCCTTAAGATTTAGAGCGACTAAGCTAGGAAGACCATTATTTGGACATGAGACTATTACTTGGACGTGCCTCGAATCATGCGAGTCGTGCTTAACAAAAGTGGATATTTCAACACGATGTAGTGGGGCTCCTTGTTTTGTGGACACAACGGCCTCAGACTTAAATTATAGATAGAGCTTTAAAGATAAAAGAAGGTAGCAACGAACTGCCAATAACTTGCTCAAATATTTCGTTATTTTGATTATTTTTTACTTTATAGTTAGAATTCAATTCTTATTTCAATTCCTTATAATTCTATAACCTAGTTTCAATAATCAAACTACATTTTTTCAATTATTTTTGCATCTTAATATTCGGGTAAAATGAGGTAAAGAAATTTGGGGACCTTTTGTTCACATTTAAGACTTTACATTTCTGACATGCTTGGTAATAGTTCAAAACCATGAAGAACATGGAATATACCCCACACACACACACACATTGTATACAACTATGGTAGCTTGTTGGTTAAATGGGCATTCTAAAGTATGGGATGTCTAATAATACATGAAACATGCTATCGGGGGTGGAACTAGGGTGCATATAGAGGGGGCCAAATTTTTTTAAAAAATTAATTTCTATGTAGTTTTTTAATATTTAGAATAATTGATTTTATAAGTTAATAATACCTTATAATTATATAATATTTTTAAATAAAAAATAATTAAAGCAATCTTATAATTATATAATATGTTTAAATAAAAAATAATTAAAGCAATCATATATCCTCTATTCAATTGTTTTTTATATTGCTCATAGGTATTTTCTTTTTAAATCAAGCCTATTCAAGGCACTCAGGCATTAAATGTAAATGCCTCTCCTAATAATATTCAAATCTTGGTTCGTCATATTGTGAAATACTAGCCTGTTCTACTAGACTGTACTTTTGTTAGTTCCTTTCAGTTATATTTATAAGTCACTTCAAATATACTTTACCGAGAGAAAAAGAAAACCTTAAACTTCATTTACTCTGTGTTAAAATTGAATAAATTTTCACCTCTTTTACCCCTAACAAAGACAAATAGAATTATTTGTAATAATTTTTTCATTTGTAATAATTTTTTTAAGTATTTAATAAGGCTACGAAAAGTAAATATAAACATAAAAATAGTAAAGTGACATGTAAATAGTATTAAACTTAATCTTCTCTATATCTTATAAATAAAATTGAAAAAGTACACACATATATAGATACATACATATATAGGTGGCTAGAGCACTAGTGCATCAATATTAATGTGTGAGTAGGTTTTGAAGGATTTTTTTTATATATAAAAAGAAAAAAAGGGATTGGGAGCCCAAAAATTTCCCATTTGTCATCACTTAGGTAAACCCCTAATACATACGAAGGGGGTGGACGTGTTGGGCCCCCCCTTAAAATGAACTTAGGTCTGCCCCTACATGCTATGGTAGAGGGTTCTAGGATGCATATACGCGTCAATCTGCAAAAATTGTTTACTTTTCCTGGTGCAAAATGCCTGCTCGAGTTCAGCTCACTGACGGGGCAGCAGCAGAAGAATGGAATCTCTTGTTAAAGATTAACCTACAATTACAATGAAGTCAAATCTTATGGAGGAAATTGTTTCCATTTTTGCATATTTTTCCCCATTGTTTGTTTGCTTACTAATGCAGCTTTGTTGGAATGAAAGATCTAGTTCCTGTAGATTACTTGGAACTTTGATTTGGGATAACTGAATGCTTCTTTTTTTTTTTTTTTTGACCAAATCTGAATGCTTCTTCAGAGTCCGAAATAATTTTCTATGAAATTAAACAGGTGGACAAGATACCGGGTGGAGCTAGATTGGGTTTTATCACGGTTGCTGATGGGAAAACAGAAGTTCTTGTGTATATTGACTGCTTGGTTTTTCCAGCCACTGATAACTCAGCTCCAATGTTCCGTGCCATAAGAAATGGACTCCTAAAAGGTAAGGATCCACCCGGTGAGCCCAGAATCATGAGGAGCCTTCTGCAAGCCCTTAAGAAGTCTGTTGAAATCGCCAGATCGTGAATATTCTTCGTTGTAATGTACTTGTAGAATTTTATATTTCAATATATATTACATATTTCATGGTTACCGACTTAGCAGAGCAACATGGGGCTGGACCTGTGAAGCAAACATTGGGAATCTAAAGTCCCGGTTTCTCCTCTATATTTTGGCACAGAAGAATAATTTGAGACTGGAAAACAATGATACCAGCCCCGGGTGAATTGCCCCATGCATACCGTGAAAAAAGTTACTCAGGCTGTGTTTTCTCGAAATTCCCACTAGCGTGTGGTTATCAACGAAGACGTAAAGAATGTCCATTACGATTGAGCATTACGTGGCAATTATTTCATCGTCGAATGCTAGGGTGTTGAATTTTCTCAAAAAGCTATATTCTCCCCTGCACTTCAACCCATCTGTTTGCTCTGCCCTGTAACGTTATAAGCGATTACAAGTAAGAACACAATCACATGATCTTAAAAAAATGAGGATAAAAAACAAACCACTCAAACGTGTCAGCTATTCCTTTCGAGGGGATGCAAATACGCAATGCCAATGCATCTGAGGTAAACGTACACCAAATATAGAAGTTTTGAAGAACCATTAGGTGATGTTTGGATTGGTAAATTTAAATTTAAAATTTTTCATTTTAAATTCATATATTTAAAATTTTTTGTTTAAATACTTTAAATAACAAAGATTATTACTATTAGATAGTATCCGGAGAGTGTATATGAATATTTAAAATAATTAGAATTTAAAAAGAATTATAAATTATGAAAAAAATAAAATAAAATTTGAATTTGGATAATCCATGAATTTTGAAATATTTAAATAGAGAATTTAGTTCAAATTTAAATTTAAATGTATCCAGACATAGGAAAAATAAACGAGGAGAGATGATTGAGGCTCATGGTCTAGTCAGTCAGCAGTAAAGGTCGACTTGCCATTCACCAAGTAGAACCAACATCCCACATGTTTGTATTAGCGGGGATAGTAACGTATTTGTGATAGATATACTTTCTTCATTTTAAATTATTAGATAATTTTAAATATTTAATTTTTTAAAAAATATCTTACCTTTTTGATTAGGGAATTAATCATCATGCTACACAATCATTTCAATTCTTTTGTTTACTTGAAGGGTAACTTGAAAAAATATTATTAATAAAAATTTATTTGTTTAAATTGTCTTATATTTTAAGATAAAGAATTTTTCTAAAGTTATTTTATAATTTGAGATAGAGAGAGTACTAATTAGAATATAAACATGTTTCTTCCATATATTTATATAATTTTGTGAAAAATAAATTATAATTGTTTTTAATGTAACAGCTATACTCCTCCGGTCTAGTATATAAATCACTTTTTAGAAGTATAATTTGAGTCACTTTATAAGTCATTTATTGATGAAATTATTTTATTTCAAATTAAAATTTTTAAATTACATTTAAAAAGTAAAAAAAATAAAAAATAATATTATATGATTGACTTACTTTTTATTTTTTATTTAAAGATTATGTTTCAAATTTTATTTATTTTTATTTTTTATATTTTTATTATATTAATATTAATAAGATCGATAAAAATAATCTATAAATAAGATTGGAGGGGGCACGATCATGGATTTTATTATACATTGATTGATGCATTAATTTTGTTCACCAGGCCAAGCACGTGCTCTAAACAGGGTTGCTTTGTTCCGGTTTCTACAGTAAACCCACACGACCCCGCCCTCCCTGTATTTATTCTGTCAAATTCCACAGCTTCAACCAATCTTCCAGGAGCACCGAACGATGACTACTTTCGTTCTCTACTCTCATTTCCTTCCATCAAGGACACCTTCAGCTCTCAGGCTCTCTAATACCCCTATTTTCTATACTTCCTCTTCACCAAACCCCAACCAATTCCTTCTTCCCAGAAAGTCCCTCTCAAAACCCGGAATTCTCTGCTCTTCTTCAAAGGATGACAACAACCCCAGGTTCTTCATTTCTCTGTTGTTATTCTTTTTCTTTCTTTTTTCTTTTTTTAGAAAGCTCAGCTATCGCGTGCTTTCTATTCAGCTGAGTCGTGGATTTTGTTGTTGGTTTTGGTGTGCATAACACCTGCTTTTTATTGCCAGCAACTTTTGCATCATTGAGGGGCCAGAGACGGTTCAGGATTTTGTTCAAATGCAGCTGCAGGAAATTCAAGACAACATAAAGAGTAGGCGCAATAAAATATTCCTTCTCATGGAAGAGGTTAGCTATAATGTCATCACAGTACAACCTGTGAACCCTAGTCTCTTGACCTGTCTGATAAGCTTTAAATTCACTTATCATAATATAATCTTTCATGCTTTGTTTAGGTGAGGAGATTACGCGTACAACATCGCTTAAAAGGTATGCAAGTCATCAATGAGGACGGAGAAGAAGCGTATGAGATGCCCGAAATTCCATCATCAATTCCCTTTCTTCCGCATGTGGTGAGCCTAAAAATTTAGCCACAATTATTGAGTTATTCTTCTTCCCGCGGAATGGTGCGATATAAATTATAATAGGCTATTTGTTGCGATTAGTTACTTATAAATCCATTTCCAGTCATTGCATGATAAAACTTGCTTCTTTATAGTTTCCTTTCGTTTCTGTATCTTTACTTGCAAGACCAAAATAAACTTTGAGCATATGGAATTTTAATTGGGGCTAATCTTGTGCATTTTCTTTTGATGTAGACACCGAAGACCTTGAAGAAGATCTATCTAACAGGCTTATCCTTGATATCTGCCATAATTGTATTTGGTGGGCTTATTGCACCAACGGTAATTTTATTTAGCCACATTTGACAGGATAAGAATATCAAACTGCACTGAAGAATGCCTATGAATGCGCCCCTTCAATTTAACCTATTTGTTTTAGTCATCCTACTATCTTACAGGCATTATGTACGTGTCCATATTTCAATTGATATCATAAAAATAATTATATTATTTTATGGTACTTTGTATGGTGGTATAGATGTCTAGAATCATGGGTTTTGTCATGCTAGTATATAGGCTCTTGAACACGATCTGCATTGATTTCAAATACTGAAGTGTATTGCTATATTACAGCTGGAGCTAAAATTAGGTTTGGGTGGTACCTCATATGAGGATTTCATAAGAAGCATGCATTTGCCTCTGCAATTAAGGTATCTCCATTCTCTGATTGGCCTGATTCTGTTAGTTCAAGTTTGCCCTTGGACCATTTCATTGGTGAATAGCTGTTTTGTTTGATTTCTGTCTCTAATTTGATTTTCTTTACACAATTAGTCAGGTTGATCCAATTGTGGCATCATTTTCTGGTGGGGCAGTGGGTGTTATATCAATATTGATGTTAATTGAGGTTAATAATGTTGAGCAGCAAGAGAAAAAAAGGTGCAAGTATTGCCACGGAACTGGTATGTGCTAGCTTGGTCTTTGAAAATGTCCACTCTCTAAAGAACACAGCAAGGCCTGGAATGCTTGACAAAATGTTTTTACTGTTTTGATTAGATCTGCTGCCACTTAATTCAAATTACCTCTGATTCAAATTTCTCTATTTATCATTGGAGCTTTGGATATATTCTTAATGATTAATTATTTATGGACAGGATACTTGGCCTGTGCCCGCTGTTCTTCTAGTGGTGTGTGCTTGAACATTGATCCCATCTCAGTATCTAGTGCTACTGACAGGCCATTGCAAGTACCTACAACCAGAAGGTGTCCAAATTGCTCCGGTGCTGGAAAGGTACAATATCTAGTAGAAAATATAGATATATATATTTTTTTAAATAGACTTCTAGAGTGGAATATGCATTATGAATATTGTTGATGAAATCCAAATGCTGATCTTCTACTTGTCTAACCCCCTTCCACCCATAGAAAGAGGACTGTATTAGTTTGCATGTGATTTTTTTGTTTGAATTAATATTTTAACTCGTACAAGTGCAGTTCGTGCACTGAGATTTTGCTTTAATTAGTAATCATGATTACCAATAACATGTCCGCTAGGTTATGTGTCCGACATGCCTCTGCACGGGGATGATGATGGCAAGTGAACATGACCTGCGAATTGATCCATTTGACTAGACCAGATTTGGGGACTCCAAGTTCTTTAGATTTCATGTATCTTTTCAGTCATACTTTACAAATCCCTCATCTGAAAGTTGAAAGAGGGAAAAAATGTTGTGTAGAGGGAAAAATAAACATCATAACCTCCTGGTTTTTCCTTTTTCTATTGAACGAAATGCAAAAAGTGTTTCATTGGAATGTTTTAACAGAACATAATAACAGCATAATTTTGGAATAGTTTGATCCGTATCTTCCTTTTGCCCTCCTTTCATATGTTGATTAAAATGGACCACAGATATTCTTAGTGGCATACCTTGATTTAGCATAGTTAGCTGGTGCGGAGGAGGGGTGAATTACCACTTCGATCCGAAAATGGGTTAGGCAGTCCATCCATATGATTTACTGCTTGTTTGGAGGTATCAATGTTATTTAGGAATCACAACTGCAGAGGTATCCGAACTGGTTTTTTCTGATTATCATCACTTGGTTTCGAGAGCTACGACTATTACACGAAATGCCTTGATGTTGCATTAGCTTCCCCCGTACATTTAGCGTTCATGCATTTGTATGGGACCCGAAATTTGTTATGATGTAAATTTGGTGCTACATTCTGTTATGATGATGACAATGAGTGTATCATAAATTCGTTTTATATTGTACTTTGCAAAAGTAGTACTATAGTTGCAGCGGCAAAGCTTCAATCATGACATGGCTATCAATTTGTTGTGATAACATGAAAACACCCCTGTCAAATGGTATCATTATATGCAGAATCCGCCAACAGATCAACCCATGGACCAAACTTTTCAAAATGAAATAAGCGTAAAGACTTCTAATGACAGGAGGGAGGGTAGTCTCTACAGAGTCAAATGGGAAGAACACCTGGCATTCATTTTAGTATTGAAATGCAAATGTATCAACTGTCAATTTTAAGCAAATGCAGCAATGTTAATCCATATGCAACATTTGATCTGGCCTCTGGGTAATATCACTATGCTACCAATATTCCCCACACGAACAAGCCCCTTCACTGAAATGGTGAAAGCGATTTGCATCTCGAACAGTTATAGCCCTTCTCGTTACAGACGAGACCATCTTAATAAACGTGTGACAATCACCACAAACCCTCAGATTCTTCGACATCATAATTGGATCTCCCTCGGGAGTGGCAACAAGGCCAAATGCAATAGCCAGCTTTTCACTGTGCACATATAACATCCCTACCTTCGCTTCCTCCTCAACATCATGCAAAACATAACTTGTATCAGGTACATAGCCAGCCACCTCTAACTTCTTGACTAGGCTGATCAGCATTCTGTTGATCTCCTTCCATCGGGGATGGGATCTATCCCCAACACTGAACTGATAGGTTTTGTCATTCACTTCAATCCAAGTCCACCCGGGTGGTTTCTTTAGCTTCATTTGGGTCATCAGACCCCTTATCTTTGCCACTTTTTCCCACTTACCCGCTTTTGCGTAAATATTAGATAGCAATACATAATGCCCTGGTTCTTGGGGCTGTAGATCAAGAAGAGAATTGGCTGCCTTTTCTGCCAACTCCATGTTCCCATGAATTCTACATGCGCCTAGCAAAGCACTCCACAGTCCCTCATTTTTTTCTTCAATCGTATTCTCAATCAATGCCATGGCTTCATCGACTTGTCCAGCACGGCCCAAAAGATCAACCATACAGGTATAGTGCTTGACATCAGGTCTCACACCATACTCTTCCCACATCAAATTGAAAAAATTACGACCCTCTTCAATAAGTCCTGCATGGCTACAAGCATATAAGAGGGACACAAAGGTGACCCTGTTCGGTAATATTCCACTGCCCAACATCATATGAAACAATTCGATGGCTGCTTTGCCATTACCGTGATACCCATAAGCTGCAATCATGGCACTCCATGATATAACATTCTTTTCTTCCATCCGATCAAATATCTCTCTTGCAGACTCAACACTCCCGCACTTGGCATGCATGTCTATCATTGCTGTCCCCAAGATCACATCCAGTGTGAAATTATTACTGCTAATATATTCATGAAGAAATCTAGCCCTGTGCATAGCCCCCAATTTTGCACAGGCATTAACAATGGTCACCATAGCAACCTTGTCTGGTACAACACCTTCTTCCATCATCCGATCAAATAGAACGAATGACTCGTATGCATTTTTGCATTCAGCATAAGCGCCAATCATTACCGTCCAGGTTACAAGGTCCTTATGGAGCATTTTTTCGAACAGTTGGTGAGCGTCTCCAATCACCATACACTTAGCATACATGTCAACCAGTGACGCGCAGATAATTCGATCTAAATGTAATCCCAACTTCAAAACAATGTCGTGGATTGCTCGGCCCATTTCAAGGTCCTTTCTATCTCTAGAAGTTCTTATCACAAAAGGCAATGTATAACTATCTAGTTGGACTCCATTTCTTATAACCTCCCTAAAGGTCGCATAACAATTAACATAGTCACCCAGCTTAGCAAACCCACCAACCATCACACTCCATGATTTCGGGTCTCTCATTTCCATTTCTCCAAACAGAGCATAGGCATCGTTGGTAGCTTTATGGTAGGCATATATGTAAAGAAGCTTGTTTGCGACAACGAGGTCTGCAAATACTCCGTTGACGACCAAGCGGGCGTGAACTTGTCTAATCTGAAAGACATTTCTACACCTCAATAGAAGAGCAGTATAATATTTAGGATCCATTGTGTTGGGAATGCAGGACATGCTTCTGATAGCGATTACATTCCTCTTCTTCTACAAAAGCATGATGAACTGTGCCATTTTTTAAACTGGGACAGTATGGCCCGACGAACGACGAATCTCTATTATATTATATGTGCTCAAAAGAAAGGAGGCAAAAAAAGTTTAGCAGAGCAATGTCAGAAGAGCCATGCAGCGGAAGGCTCGAAACCCGCTTAGTGAGGTAGAGAAGCCACAAATGAAATTCTTGCACCAGGGTTCGAACACTCGTCGTTTTATTCACGTTCTCTTTTAACCTGGAATCCAAATTCTTCGGATTGTGTTGTTGTCTCTTTATGATTGGATGAAATATGACAGACTGTTTGTCCCCCCTTTCTTTGTACGATGTCGTTTTACATCACGGACGAGGCTCTCCATTCTACACATTACTTGGTTCACTACTACGATGTCGTTTTGGATCCGAAGCTGCTAGCGCTTCCTTGCTTCGTCTGTCCCAGCTGGCTCGAAACCTGAGGCGAGTGAAAAATGGTGGCAGCTCTTCGAAACCGATTGGCCTCCCAGATCCTGACCAGGTTCCTCTATTCACCGATTCGTCATACTGGGAGCACAAGCTCGCTCGAAACTGTAGCCTACGAAGAAGTGAGAGCCTATCCTGACAAACCTTACACTTCAACCGCTGTCATTATCCATGGCTTCTTGGGATCGGGAAGAAATTGGAGATCTTTCTCCCGCAATCTCGTCGCTGCTCTCTCCAATTCCTCTCCTTCTTCAAGTATCTATTTCTGTAACTCCTGTCATTTTACTTCTAACAAGCCAGTTACCTTTTTTTTTCTGAATTATCTATTTGATTCCATGTAGATTGGAGGACGGTGCTATTGGATATGAGGAATCATGGAAAATCAGCGGACAGAAAACTCAGTCCACCTAATACTATGGATAATGCGGCCAAAGATTTGGCTGATTTGGTAAAGGTCGAAGGCTGGCCTTGGCCTGAAGTTGTTATTGGCCACTCCATGGGCGGTAAGGTCGTTATGCAATATGCTGAGAGCTGTAGCCGGGGTGAATATGGTGATAGGGCTTCATTGCCAAAACAGGTTTGTTACACTCTTCTTTTTCAAGCTAGTTGTCTATTCATTTAATTATTTGTTGTTTCATTCATTGCCTCGTTTGAATGTTATTTCATTTTAAACTCATCATGGCTTAGATTGTAATTCACCCTCATTTTCTATAGAAAATCGGGTATTTAGTTTTTCTTGTATGTGCCTTTGAGAGTCATGCATGGGACACGTGGTTTAGCTTTGCACTCACATAAATTTTACACTCGGTTTTGCTACATTTCCTAACCCATGGTTTATACTTATCAGAGAAGCATGGATTATTGTGGCTACCCTATCACTCTGTAGGGTTAATTAGTATGTAATGAAACAATTTTGTTAAAAATTATACTTAGTTGCTTTATAAATAACTAGTGGGACATATGGTCCCAAAATAAATAATGGAAAAGATTGCTTTGATTGAACTTAGGAACTTACTATTTAAGATAATTAAAATATAGCAACTAAAAATCCCGTTAAATCTTCAACTACTCAAGGGAGACTGTGAATTGAATGGTGAGTAGGGAACTGATCCTTTCATTGATCGATTATTAACATAAGCCTTTTTGACGTAAGATTTGAATGGAGGAAAAAGAGAGGCCAATTTAGTGCATGTCAGATGCCTATGCAATATTGGGTGTTGTGTGCTAGTAAATACTGAATACCAGTATTATTAAATAGGCAATTGATCGAAGCATTCCGTCATGCCTGCGATGCTTTTAAAATATGCACTGCAGAGACCATTGATTAACAAAATGATAATTTTTTTATGGTAAAAACTGAACAAGATAGTTTAACCAATGCACATACCGGTCAAAACATGCTCCAACCCCCCCCCCCCAAAAAAAAGAAAAGAAAAGAAGGAAAAAAAAAAAAAGCCACACACACACACTAGTAGTGTATGCCTAACCCATTGTCCTCTCTTTGTTACTACATTTGTTGTGTGGACTACAATCCTTTCACATAATTGCATATATTTTCATAATTATAAGCTACAGTTTCAGTTAATTGAGTATGAGGATTTTTCCCTTTTTCTTCCCTGCTGAAAGCAGCTCTGGGTTTTGGATGCTGTTCCGGGAGAATTGAACCCTGAAAACAGCCATGAAGAAGCTAGAGATGTTTTATGGACCTTGCAAAGTTTACCGGCTCAAATCCCATCTCGGAAGTGAGACTCTATTTCTGAACATGTTCTCATGATTTAGTTTGTTAATAGGCTGGTGCTTACCTTTATGGCATAAGGTGGGATGCTATTTTAACATAAAGCTATACTTTTATCTATTGGCATTTATTAGGAATGGAAATAACAGTACATGATAAACAGCATTTGCGAAGCTGAATTATTGTTCATGTGCTTTTACTTTCTCCTATATGATCTACTTGTCAGTCATTACTACTTATTACAGTCTTGATTCTTGAGTTTGCATTCTTTTATGAGAGGACTTGAAAGACTACGTGTATATGCCTAACGCCAATATTTCTATTGAAACATTTATGAATTGAACAATGGACATTGTGTACCTTCTTCTAGTGATGCTATATTCTGATTGTTTGTCCCCAATTGATGTCTTGTTGAGATCACTATGCTTTATGGTGTCCCTCTTCTGCAATGATCTTTTTAAACCATACATGATACATTATCTGCAGTTTACCATTTAGTTAGAGTAATCTATTGTTGCGCCTGGTTTCAGGTGGCTTGTGAGTCATCTGATGGGACTTGGTTACTCCAAGTCATTGTCAGAATGGATAGGCACCAATCTCAAGAAATCTGGTGACCATGAGACATGGGCATTTGATCTTGAAGGTGCTAAGGAGATGTTCGATTCTTACTGGTAAACCAGATCAGCTTTATGTTCAAATAGATATAATTAAAAAAAAACCAAAAATTACTATCTGTCCTCTGTACCCACTTTTTCTTTTTTAATGTTATATATTCTTCTACCACGACAGTGGGTATTAATCCCGAATGCAAACATATGTAGGGAGAAGTCCTATTGGAATCTATTGGAGAACCCTCCTCAAGGTATGGAGATAGTGATTGTGCGTGGCGAAAATAGTGACAGATGGAGCCAAGATGCGATTCAGAGAATTCAAAAATTTGCCAGTCGAGGACAAACTGATTCTCTTGGAAAGGTTTCCCTTTGCGTTCTTCCTAAGGCAGGGCATTGGGTTCATGTGGACAACCCAAAGGGACTGCTTGAGATTGTGGCTCCCAGATTAGCATCCTTTTAAGCATTTTTTCCAGACATTGGGAAAGCTACCATTGGAAATTTTGCGTCCACATTTGGAGCAATTGACACTGATAAAGGGATGTGAATCACTTCGTTACGAAGAAATGGGATTTGAATGGCCAAAAAAAAAAAGTCAAAATAATCTCGTTCCTGCTTCAATGCTTGTACCTCGAGGTGTTTGTTAGCAACTTGTTCAAGAGGAAGCTATTTGTTTCTGTCATAATAGAGGGGGAATTTACGATGATTTGAAGTATTGGTCTATTGGAGGTGAACATGCAGGTACTTGTTGTTCGGGGGCCTAATTGGTTAATTTTAAGGATTGGAAATCCATTTTGACTAATGCCTTGAAATCTTGAATATGTCCTGATATATCATATATATATATATATATATATAATTAAACTTGAAACAAGTTGTGCTGTAACTCTTTACAAGCTTTAAATAAACGTTTTTTTTTTTTCCTTCATGAAGACTGAAACAATTTTGGTCCTCCCCTCCCACCGGGTTCCTTAAGCTTAACTGTGATTGAGCCTATAATCATAATGTTAATGGCGCTGCTATTGGTGTAGTATTCATAGGAGACACTAGGCAATTCATGTGAGCTTTTGCTGATAAAGTGAAGTCCATCTCAGCATTCATGATTGAAGCATTAGCTTTGAAAATAGCTCTTTTATTGGCCAGAGATCTGAGTTATGAGAAGGTGACTGTCTAAAGTTGGTGTCTTGCGTTAATCTTGGCCAAGCTGATTGAGGGGAATGGCTTTGCAAAAGTATTATTGAAGGCATTTTGGATCTCCTGGCAACAAAAGCTAGGTTCTCCCTCTCCTTTGTGTCACGCAAAAGTGATTGTGCAGCTAATCTTATGGCTGCCCTTGCTATTAAGGAAGTGAGTTCGGTTGGATGGGTGGAAACACCGTCATCTCCTTTATCTCTTGTTCTAGGTGGTGATGCTGTGATTTCTGAGGTGAATTCTTGCCAGAGGGGAGCTGTGCCTAACCGTGATGGAGTTGGCTAATTTGCTTCCTGTTTTTTCTGCTGTTTTTTGTCTGTTTTGCTGCTTTATTTTCTTTGTCTAGCTTTAGCTTTGGTTGGGCTTTGGCCTATGTTTTTGCCTTTGAAATATTGTCGCTGTTCGGCTTTTACCTTCACCTTCGACAAATAATTGAAGTACCTTCGGCCAAAAAAATTAATAGCATAGTAGATGAGGAAATATGTTTAATTTATGACCTTGAAATATCACATTTTAAATTTCTTTTTTCTTAAGAATTTGTGTTGTATTATTGGCTGAACACTTTTGTTTGCTGGCATAGATTTCAGATGGTTTATAGTTTTTGTTTTAAATTAGGTTAATGAGCATTGTAGACTTTAGATTATTGTAAAAATAATATCTTGAATTTTGAACTCTTAAAATGTACAAACATTTTTCTTAAATTCTAAATTTTAAATATCTAAAACTTCGCCTTTAAGTTGAAGCAAACAACTGTTATTTTTAATAATTAAGATGAGTGCTACACTAACATGCGATTAGGCCTCACAACTACAAAAGCAATGATCATTTTCTTCAACTTAACAGTAAGGTTTTAAGCATTAAAAACTTAAAAATTAAGAAGAGTTTTTATACATTTTAAGAATTGAAAATTCAAAATATTATTCGTGTAATGTTTAGAGTTTAAAATACCCATTAATCTTTTTGATTTTGTTGGTTGTAATGATAGGGTGTTCTTGTTTTTATTTATTCTTAACCTTGTTACCCCTAATCTTATATACTTATTATACTTACATCTAATCAAATTAAAATGAATTGGATGTTAAATTTAAATAAAGATTAAGAATCATGATAACAAGAGTTATGTAACTAGAAAATAATTGGTAAATAAATCCACGTTATAATTTTATTTAAGAAAACGTATAACAAGTGTATTAGCTATTTTAAGTATTTTAGTTTTGTCCCCTTTTTCTGGATTAGTGATTGCAATATTCATTGATTATTAATTTCGATGGTTTTGGGAGTAGAAAAAGAACAAGAAGTCAAAGGTTCAAAGCTCACTAGTATAGATCCCTAAAAAATAATAAAATTGATATAAATTACTATTAAAAAATAAAGACTCAGCCAAGTTATATCATTTATAAATCATAGTCAATGTGTCTTGGTTTTTAAGCTCTATGTAACACACAATATTCACATTTATTTAAGCGCTTCCTCAATTTTGAATTATAATTTTTAAAAGTTGTAAGCTTATAACTTAAAAAATACAATTAATAAGTTAAAATAATGATTAAATTGACAAACTCCTAATTACTGTGTTAAATAAATCAAAGTTATTGCAATAAATATGATTATAATAGAAAAATATTAATAGATATTATTTTGAATTTAAAAGAAAACCTATGAAATGAAAAAAAAAAATCCTTCAAAAATACTTATATTTTAAAATGAATTGCAATTATGATTTAGTCTTTATCGTTTAAAAACACAAGAAGAGGATATCTAGAGCATGTTGAATTTTTTATGAACAGCCTTTTCCAACTGGAACCTGAAAATTGAAATGAATTTTGAACGGCTGTAACTCAGGTTATAAAAGCAAATTGAGAGGATGCAATTATTTCTAGAGGGGACACAATTACAGAGGATCCACTTAGTTCCTGAATTTTAGTCTTCTGAAATGTAAAGTTTTCTTTTTTTAATACTTTTACCGATTATATTATTTTTTTATAAAACACAAAGCCTTCTCACTCTTTCTTAAAAAGATGAACTTTCAAGTCAAAACTCTAAGAGAGGTGGGAGATGGGGCTAATCCGACACAAGCAAACTAGGGAGAGGGAGAACGTGAATGATGGATGTGCGGGAGGAAGAAGACGCCAAGGAAGGAGGGATTACTTTTGTCCTCTAAAAATTTTAGCGCAAACCATGTTTTGTTCAGTTTCTCTCTTATATATTATTGGGTCTATTCTAAAAAACTATTCCAATTGGCTTATCCAAATATTCCTTTGATTAAAAAATATAAGGTGTTTTTAAAAGACTATATATTTAAAGATATGAAATATTTTTAGTATTTTAAAATATAATTATTATTTTTTTTAAAAGATTCCCTGATAAATATTATTTGTTTTAGAGTAAAATATCTTATTAAATATAAGCAAATATAAAAAGATGATGTCAATTTAAAGAAAATACATAAAAATATTTTTAATATTTCAAAATATAATTATTATTTTTTTAAAAGCTTCCGTGATAAATATTATTTGTTTTAGAGTGAAATATCTTATTAAATATAAGCAAATATAAAAAGATGGTGTCAATTTAAAGAAAATACATAAAAATATTTTTAATATTTTAAAATATAATTATTATTTTTTTAAAAGCTTCCGTGATAAATATTATTTGTTTTAGAGTGAAATATCTTATTAAATATAAGCAAATATAAAAAGATGATGTCAATTTAAAGACAAGTAACTATTTTATTGAGAAGTAAAATTTAATTAAAAATATTTTATATTTTTTAACAGAAAGAATAATAGATATTTAATTTTTTTAAAGTTTTGATTATTTTTAATATCTTAAAAAAAGTCCGCTCAAAGTGATTTTTTTTTTAAAAAAGTGCACTTTTTTTTTAAAAGAAAAAAGAAAAGCCAAAACAAACGGCCCCACAAATCAATGCAAAAATAATGAGTTATCTAGTTATTATATTTAATTAAAAGCAAATGGAGCCTCACGATGGTGAAGCGAAAAAGAAGCTAAGTGTCACAACCTATATTTAAATATAAAAAAACTTATAAAGTTGTGGAATTTTTGGAGACCTCCAGAATAACAAAAAGAATTCTAGAGCTTTCAACAAGGGTCCAATATATTCTAGAATGTTCTAGAGGCATCTAGAACAATCTAGAATTATCTAGAGAAACCTAGAAAGATCTAGAAGTTTCTAGAAGGTTCTAGAAACTTATGGAGGAATGTGGAGATATCTAGAATATTCTAGGATGTTTTAGAATATTCCACACATATCTTGAGAGATAGTCTCTAGAAACTTCTTTATAAATATCTAGAGATAGAATGTACACCGTTAGATTGAATCAATCCCAACCGTCCATTAAGGAGGTGGGAACTTTCTAGAGAAAGAGGGAGGCCTATAAATACCTCTCACCCCTCATTTGTAACAACTCAAGTGAGAAGCAATAAAGCTATCAATTTCACTCACTTAAGCTTTCTACTCTTTACTTGTGCGTCCAGCTCTCCTAGTCTCTTTGCCTACTTTGAGGGTTCGGCTGACTTAGCAGGGATCAAAGAGGGTGATCAAGCTAAGGTCGGTACGGTTCAAGAGAAGGGAGTTCCAAGGCCGGTCCAAAAGAAGGAGGTCCGTCCGAGTGCTTTTTGACCTTTGATATTTAATATTATGCAAAATGGATCACGATCTATTGCTCCCCGACATGGTCTCCACTGGATCTTGATGAATGGGATATTTTGAAGGGGGAAAAAGTACAATATATCATGAGTAATTGTTGCAAAATTACAATATTTTGAAGGGGGACAAAATACAATATATCATGAGTAATTGTTGTAAATTACACCACAACTATGCCTTGAACTTGGAAGTTGCTAGTATCGATCCCTGATTCCGAGTCCCATCGATCATGTTGCGAGTGTTACATCTTTAATTTGGTTGAGGCGCGCAGAAGCAGGTTTTGGCGATGTGAATGCTTCTTTTCTATTCTTTTCCCCCCTCAACGTGAAAGCTTTGTTGTTTATTGTTCATTTATCCTGAGAACTTGAAGAAATAGATGCTGCCTCTCTAACATTGCTAACTTCATGGGTGAATGCCATAGAGGCATTAATTTCACGCTCGTTGCAGTTTGAGGACAAAGAAGACCGCCAGGAAAAAATTAGATTTGAATTCTGTGAATAACCTTAGTTAACCCATTTAATAAATGTCTCAATCATATTTGTTAGTTTTTATCAATACTTAAAAATTATTGAGATATATTTTTTAAAAAAATTTAAAATAAATATCACGATCAAAACACTCTAAATGTGTTGTCTTCTTCAAAAATTTAAGATTTATTGCTTTTTGAGTATATATTATTTAACAAAATATTTGATGGTTGTCCAATTAAATTAAATGGTTGTTATTGTGCATGTAAGATACTCATTAAGTTAGTGAAGTTAAATCACTAATCAGATTCAAATTCGAGAAAATCATTGAGAGGGTTTCTCTCTAGATGGTCTAGATGTGGAGAGAGAAATAGAGATTTGGGTAGGTCATCCTCTCTCTCGCACAAGAATATGATATGGTGAATGAGAAATGAACAGCCCCACCTGGAAGGAACTTCTAATGTTAAAGTTGTCAAAAGTGACTTTTAAAAAAAAGAACAACATGGATGTTGGTGCTGCGTGTCAATTTAAAACTAACACGGAAATGGAGAAAGAAATGAGTAAGAAGAGAGAGAGAGCAATACACAACAAACTAAGTGCTTGGTTGAACTATTAGAGAAATTGTATCAGCTTAACAAGAGACCTTGAATTTAAATCTTGAAAATGCAACAGCAATTAATAATAGAATTTTTACTCGAAAGAATCTTAATCCAACTCTGACATGGACTAGTGGAACTTTAACTTTAGCCACTGGATGATTTACTGAAAAAACAGAATGTCCTGAAGCAAGCATGGTAGATTGATCATAGTGCAGATTGACTGGCTAACGCGTGACGTGATATTAGAAGCAAGCAGTTATTGGGTGATCAGGGATTTTTCCATACACTTGAGAGTTTCAGCCAGCCTCCAATCAAAATATGAAAATATAAATATAATAATTTTATTTAGTTTCATATGGGCCAAAAATTTAGGTCGAGGTATATATAATATTTCATCTAATTAACAAAATCAAGTTAAAAAAAAAAAACAAATATGCCTCCTGTATATAGTAATTGGAAACTACAGTAAGAGCACTTATAGAGAAAAGAATAATTAAATAACTCCAGAACTTGCACAAGATGCCTTATATTTAGCGTTGTAACTTCTTTGAAGAAGATGAGATATTGAATGCCGCGTCTCATTTCACCTACTCACGTGTAAAATTACACCGAGCATGCGACGCCAGAAACGAGTAAACGACGAACAAAAGGTGACCCGTTCAACTGTCTCTGTCATGCTACCCAAGTTTGAACTTAATTATGTTATATTGTCGTTGATTATTTTTTAAGGGCCCATTCAATATCCATTAAAAAACTAATTATGAAAAATTATTAATATAATTTATTATATTAAGTATGATATAATTTATTTATAAAATTAATTAACAATATTAACTTTAGGGAGAACTGAAAAGTAGACTGAATAATCAAGAAAAATCATGATTTTGTGAAAATATATCCAAACATCTTATTACGTGTCAAAATCAATTATAAATTTAAACTTATATCTTTGTAAATATTCAAATACTCATTATATATGTTAGATAATCCAAAATTATAATTTTCTTAAAAATATCCAAACCAACCATAAATATATTAAAATTAATTATGAATTCAAAATCATGGTTATTTTATAAGTCATAAACTACTATTATTTGTTTTTCAATTCAACTTTTTAATTATGCTTTTTTAAAAATTAATCTAAAAATTATATTAACTATTTTATAAATCATATTTTTGGGTTTATTTTCAACAGTATCTTCAATTTCATATCTAAACTCAATGGGTATCACATCTTCCATTGCACACCACCGCCGACTACCATACACTGCTACATACATATCCCTTCATTCTCACTCTGCATGCATCTTACTCAATTTCATGCATCAATAACGCAACATTAATAGCTGGCACTCTTTCTATTCTCTAATAATGAAATTAGAGATGTATACATTTGGGATATGTTTTTATATCTCAAAACAAATTGTTTTTCCTGATTCGCTTCTAATTAATACATGTACTATAAATTAGCTGGATAATAAATGAATAGCTGAATGGATAATCGTAACGGATATGTTTATAAACACCAATGTTAATATATTTTATTGAAGTTTATCTTGTAATATTGAGTACTCCTTCCTTGTGTACCACTCACTCTGTCTCTATATATAAGATATTTTTTTAAAAAAATTATTTTACTTCTAAATATAAAAAGTGTTATGATATTTTTAAATATTTAAACAATTTTGTCCTTGTCTTGAAAAATGAAGGAGACATTAATTGTGTATTGTATCACCATCATCATAATATTACCTGTGACATTATTGAAAGCAAAATTAAAAAATTATTGTGATTTTACATTATTTCAACTAAATAATAAACTTTTATCGTGATTTGATTTAAAGCATTTTATACAGAGAGATAGAAGGAGTAAGTGTTTTTAACTAAATCTTGCACACTAATAAAATTTGTTATTTGGTTGAACTTCAAGACACATAAAACTACAACAATTTTTCAAATTTGCCCCAAATAATGTCACAATTAGTTTCATAACACCTTGCAATGAAACTGGGATGGGCCAAAAAAAGGATTTGGGCTAGGATGTAAAATGGGTAGAAGATGGTTAAGGGTTATGAAGAACAATGGCTGCATAAGCTAGTGGGGTACAAGGAGAAGGGTGCAGATGAGTTTTGTGACTCTCTAGAGCGTCTTCTTCCCTCTCTAGTCATAGTGACTGCAATCGTGGAATTTCCCCTCTCCTCTACAACTTCTTCTACTCCTTCAATTTTGTGGCTGCCGCTTCCTTTATGTTTCTTGTTTCTATTATTTCTTAGTTTGATAATTTCCTAAATCTTGTTAAAACTGTATTTTGGCTGGAATTCACATTAAATAAAGATCAATTGTGTTTTTACAATTTGAGTTCATGATACACTTCCTATATTTAGAGATAAGATAAGTCTTTAAAAAACATTCTAGAAAAGACAGAGTAATAATGAATCTTGTACAGCAATAATAACAGTCTTATCTTATTACACAGGATTGGCACAATGTTACTGTACTCTACCATTAACCAAACAGTAATAACAAATAAATAAGATTCTCCCATTTTCTTGTACTAAGTAACGGAAGAGTACATTCAACAATCAACATGCATATTTCTCCACAGTAAGCACGACTTCATTTTTCTGGAGGCACAGGGCCTTCGAGATTTATTTTTAAATGGAAGATATATCCATGAAGTGTGTCTATAAAACATTATTCTAAAGTAGATTTTTTTTTTTGGTCAGATTCTAAAGTAGATATTATTATTCTACATTGATGAAACTAGGGCTTGAGTTGGAAATATTTGTTCCATGAATGCCACACAACATCATCCACTATTTTATTATTATTATTATTATTATTATGCCGCATTGTACGTCACGCATATCGAATGATGACAACAGTGCAAACTTCTACTCGCAGTCGTATCCCAAGGGGAAAGTTAAAACATCACATCACACACGCGCAGCTGCACATACATGGCAAAGCAGCATCAATTTTAATGTTGAATTTCAAGTTTTTGAGGGAGGGACTTGGTATCTATCCCGTTGCCGTAGAAGTTGTCAATGAATTCTTTCGCCGTGAAATCTCTATATAATGGCGGTTTCTCCGGCGACACCAGCTCCGGCAGAGGCCCATAATATCCATCAGGACCATCCGATCCTCTCCATTTGCTCAGATTCAAAAACATCACTATTGAAATTCTCGACGACTTCTCTGCGTTCGCCAACACCCTGTGCTGCACGCTCGTGTACTCTCCATTCGATATTATCTCCAACCCCAGTCAAAGTACATGCACACATAAACCACATCAGTTCCATAAAGAAATTTAAAAAAAAAAATCATCAAATAAGATTACATGTTATGCATGCTGTCAAAGTTACCTGAAGCATGTCACCAACGTTAATAATAAGAGCGCCGGGAAGAGGGTTCACGGGGACCCAGTGATGGCCGTGCTTGACCTGAAGCCCCGCCACCTGGTTCTGCAACAACACCGTGATGATGCCCGGATCGGTATGCGGTGTTATCCCCATCGTCAGATCCGGCTGCGGGCAGTACGGGTAGATGTGGCCCACTATCGCCCTGCTTTCCGAAAACGTCAGCTCCTTGAACTTTCCTCTGTCCAAACCCAACCCCTCGCCCAGCAACTCCATCACCGTCTCTGCCACCCCTTTTGCATGCGAGTCCCACGCGAGCATTTCTCGTCCGCATATCTCCGGCAGATCCTCCGCCTTCGGGGCCTCCGGCGTCATCCACGCCTGCAGCGAGTCGTGCCAGCTGGCGGCGTCGGTTCGGTACAGGTCGTTATTGCTGGCGAACATGACGCCCCGTCCCTCTTCGCGTTTATAGTACTTGGCCTTGACGTGTTGGGGCTGGTCGTGAAAGGCTTTGATGGCGGCGATGGTTTCGTCGAGGACCGACACGTCTACGCCGTGGTTGATGACCTGGAAGAATCCCCATGTTTTGGCAGCTTCCCTGATCTGTTGGACGAGTTTTGGTGATCTGCGGGCTTGAGAGGATACGTCGGACAGGTCGATGACCGGGATGGCGGCGTCAGTGGGGGAGCAGGAGCGAAGGTCGGAGAGGGTTTGAGGAGGGTGAAGGAAGATAGAAGGGATGGAAGTGATGCCGGAGTCGGAGAGGCCCTTTACTCCGATCTTGGAGTCGTCGAAGTCCTTGACGGCCGCTGCTCGGTCGTAGCCATTACCGTGGGAGGCCATGTGCTTCTTAATCAAAATGAGTGAGCAACGGTCATCCGTATATCGTGAGGCGATCTGTGTAGTGGGATCTGATATTATATACTCCCTCCTAGCCGCCTACCTGCTGGAAACCAGTAAAAGACGGCTAACTCGTTAATTTTGTTTTGTATGAAAATAATTTATTGGCAAAAATAATATTTTAATCCTTATAGTTTCATATTATTGTCAATTCAGTTTTTATAGTTTTAATTTTTTTAAATCACTCGTTATGGTTTAACCCGTTTAAAGCGTTAGTCCTTGGTCCATTAGACTGTTACAGAATTAACCTAACAGAGTCCAGGTCAGTGTGATGGTGTTAGATTGATGCCAACTCAGCATAACATATATTAAAAATTGCTGAGTCACTTTTTTATATTTTTTAAGGTTACAAAGAAATAAAATTGCTCAGATTGCTCAGCAAAACACAGCAGTGCCTTCACTTCGAACGTGACGTGGAGAACAGAGAACTGTAGGGCTTCGAAATTTCTCTTGTAAGAACTTCACGATTCTTCTGGGTCTTCAGCGGCTGATCTGACCCAAGTTTTTCTCCTCTTCCCTTCTGCGACACTGATGAAGAGATTGTGGCGAAGTATTAGAGTATGATGGAAGGGTCCTGATGGTATACGATAAAAGCAGCAGAGGAATAAGGAAGGAGGAACGTGCCGCTTAATAGAAAAAAGTTGAACAAGAGAGGCAATAAAGCTATTGTCGGTAAGTGACGTTGGTTACATATGAGTGAAGTTACCATTTTAATATTAATTTGGTGGGGCCATCATGCTTGTTTCTTCTACATTGTATATATAGTGCGTGGGTGGAGAGCATATCATGTTGACATTGTGAGAGCATGTGTAATAGCTTTTGAATTGAAAATTCAAGACTACTGGTGACAGCATGTGCTTTGCTTTTTGAATGAAATTAGGAGATGAAATTTTATGGGGACCAAGGCAAGGAATATACAGACAAAAATAGTTATCGGTGCTTTAATTTATTTATTTGGATGATTAATATATTTATTAATTTGATTAACTTTGGATTCGAGCTTGTAGTGAAGGATTATATGTCAGATATAGTAAATCAAACTATAGAAGACATTGAAAATGGGAATAACTTGTATGAAAATGAGGATAACTTGCATGAAGTTAGATTTGAAGGTGATAGTGAAGATGATAGGAATGATTACTTTTCTGACCGTGAAGATGATGGTTGATTAATATGGATTTGAATGACATTGCTATGTCATATGCTATGGTACCTGTATCTATGGATGTAGATGATGAGTTGGAAAAAATTCTTTCAGATTGTGAAAGTGATGAGATTCCATCTAATAATGGGTCAGAGTCGAATGAGTCTAATGTAAATCCAAGGTACATTAAATATAATCTAAATGAGATGTGTAAAGATTTTAAATTACAAAGTAGGGATGGAGTTCACTTTAGTTAGAGAATTTAAAGATGCAATTAGAGAGTATTCTTTGTTGTATGGGTATGGTTTACAGTTTATAAAAAATCATAGAGAGAGATGCTAGGTTTGTTACATGAAGGGGTGTGATTAGGTGATATGGCTGAGCAAGGCTAGTGATTCATTGTCATTTAGGGTGAAAACATTCAATCCCTAACATACTTGTGGCATCACATTTAATTTGCACACGGCAACTTCTGAATGGATTTCTAGTAAGATTCATCGGAGCTTAAAACAAATAAGAATATGAGGATTAGTAATGTAATATCAAATATTAAAGAAGATTATATGGCTACTGTGTCTATAAGTAAGGCCTCTCGAGCAAGAAAAAGGGCCAAAGCTTTGGTTGATGGAAATTATAGAGATCAATATTTGAAGTTGTTGAACTATATTAGTGAGGTTAAGAATTGTAATCTTGGCACCGCATTTGAATTATTGCATGAAAAAATGGCAATTGATTGGCCTCCCATTTTTAAAAGATTGTATCTATTCTTAGAACCTGTCAAAAGGGGATTTCTAGCAGCTTGTAGAACTATTATTGGATTGGATGGATGTTTTTGGAAGGCCACTATGGTGGAATTCTACTAGTTGCTATTTCACGAGATCCAAATGACCAATATTTTCCATTGGCAGTTGCTGTGGTTGAGGGAGAAAACAAGGATTCATGGACATGGTTCTTAGAGATGTTGTTGAAAGACATTAGGAATATTGTCCAACATAAGTGAGTCTTCATCTCTGATGAACAGAAGGTGTGTATGTCATTTTTCATATGTTTATTATGTTTATACAGTATTAAGATAATCTTTTTATTGATAAAAAAAGTACATTATGATATTTTTTATTGTAAGGGTTAATGCCAGCTTTTAATCAACTTCTTGAAGGTGTCGAGCATCGTTTGTATGTTCAACATCTTTATGCAAATATCAAGAGTAGATATGGTGGTAGGACAGTTGTTAGAGATCAAGTACTTCAAGCAACTAAGGCAACCTATGTGGAAGAGTGGCACCAAAAGATGGAGGAGTTGAAGCAGGTATCTAAGGAAGCACATGACCACTTAATGAGCTTTCTACCCTCTTGTTGGACAAAGTCCTACTTTCAAGAATATCCAAGTGTGATATGATTTTAAATAACAGATCTGAATCATTCAATAGTTGTTTAGTTGAAGCACGAAAGCTACCAATAATTACTATGTTTGATTGGATACTGACTTATGTGATGAATTGATTTGCAATTAATCGAAGGAGGACAGCAAGGCATATGGGCAGAGGGATTGTATGTCCCAGGCCTAGAAAATGCTTAGATAAGGAAGTAGAGGAATCTGGGAGGTGGATGGCTGTATGGGTGGGAGATAAGAAATATGAGGTCACACATTATCAACATAAGTTTTTTGTTGATCTTGATTCACACAATTGTGAATGCAAATGGTGGGGATTGACTGGCATCCCTTGTCGATATGTCATCATTTATACTTCTTTATCTCTTTAAATACTTCAATGTTTTATTCTTCATTTTTTTAAATGCTTCATTTTCATTTTTAGGCATGCCGTGAGTTGCATATATCTAAGTAGAGAAGATCCACATAAGTATGTGCATAAATATTTGACTTTCCAATCATATGTTTAATGTTACTCTCCAATAGCACATATGATTAATGGTCGAAACAAGTGGCCCTAGAGTGAAAATGAGCCCATTGAACCACCTAACTATACTAAAAAACTAGGAAGGCCAAAGAAGAAGAGAAGAAGACATTCGATGAGTCTCCCAAGCCTCACAAACTTCACAGAACAAACACAACCCTTCGATATTCTTCTTATAGCAAGTATGGCCACAACAAAAGAACTTGCCCACAACCATCATCTCAAAGGGTCCATCAATCATCATCATCATCATCATCTCAGAGAGGCTAAGTATCTTCTTCTCAAAGGATCCCACTAAACACCCAAGAGTTTATTAATGCCACCTAACCACTAATTGCAACTCAATAGTATAGACTATGTCTTGTGTTTTGGAAACTATGAACTTTTAGGTGTATTTTGATTGTTAAATTTAATGTTTTGGGAGCCATGAACTTTTAGATGTATTTTGGGTTCTATGACCAGCTACAACTCTTTAGCTTATAATTTTAATGCTCTCTTTACATGCTCTATGTGACTAGATTTTAATGCTCTCTTTATAGCTATAAACTGTCCTCTTACTCAAGGCAAGTCCTGCATATGTTTGCCTATCTAAAGGATCATATCTTAAGTATTATGTTTAATTTAATTTCACCTGGATGATATTTAGTGTATGATATATATATATATATATATATATATATAAGAATATGTTTTATTATAATTTGTTAATCAGTTGAAAATTGCTTGAATGTATAAAGTATATGGTCACTTGTTTGCTCCTCATTTTCTTTTATCACACATAATATTTGTCATGTTTCTTTATTAGTTAATGCGATGGCTATTTCCTTAAACAAGATCGGATAATTCTATGGGGAGGATAAATTTCCTAATCTTTAAATTAAGATTGATTCTCCTAATGTTTGAATTAAAAATACACTATTGAAGTGTAAAACTCATGAATTTTAAGGTGCATTTATAATGGTAAGAAAACTTTGCCTCCAGCTACAACTTTTCAGTTTAAAATGTCCTTTTAGATGTATTATGGAATCGTTTGTTTTGATTTCCTCTAGTTATAGTTTTATTTTGTTTTTCCATTTATTTGTTTGTTTTTACCTAACTAAATTATTTTCTTTTTGTTGGTTTAGTTTGAAATAGTTTTGATTCCCTCTCATCAGACTTCCAATTGTCTTCTCTTGGTCATTGATGTACTCTAGTACTCCAATGTTCAAAATAATTCTAATTCCAAGCAACTTGCAAAATCCATTCATAATCAGAGCATATTCATATTTAGTAAATAAATTTTTCCTTCGTTATAAATTTAAATTTGAACCATTATAACCTGAAAATAGTAGAAATATTCAAAAAAATAGTAGAAATGAAAGTCTTATTTATTTGCTAAAATCTAAAAAATACTGGAATGAAATCAATCCCTTCATGTTTTGCTAAATCATTTTCTAATCACATGACTAGCCCAACAACCAAATTCATAACCATCAGTTTGTGGATTTTACTGATAATACATATTTAGTTTTGTGGCTTCAACTTCATTCACACAGTTGGATAAATTTTGGATGTCAATGTCAGGGTAGACTATAAACAAAGTAGAGACAAGGAGAGAAGGTGGCCAACAAGAGGGAGAAGAGAATACCCAACCACAAATTAATATCATGCAAGAGGGAATCAAAGAATTCAAAACTCAAATTGAATGAAATTAGTCATTTGCGAGTGAATCTCTGGTGAGAAAAGGATGAATATTGCAGAACAGAAGAGAGGAAAGAGGAGAAACACTCATATCAAATCAGTAACAGAAGACGCAAAAGAATCTTGAAGTTCTCAAAGGAGAAAAGCTGAAGCCCTAGGTAGAGTCGGTAATTCGGGCAGGCTGGGCTTATTCGGGTAGCGCTCAATTCGGGCCGGGCTCATTCGGATCGGGCTTAAAGAATCCTGCTCTTTCTAAAAAGCC